TTCCGATCTAAACCCGGCCCCCTTCACGCCTCAGCATCAGCAGCGAGCAAAATTGTAAGCCTTTCATCTCGCTGGTATCAATGCCATCGTCTGGTGGAGTAAATCTCAAATTTCTTTAATCCCCACTTCTTGGCCTTCGATTCACGATCAATTAGGAATGTTTTGACTGTGAACACTCTGTACAATTGCTCGAGCAGCGGTAAGAAATTTGAGTTTTACTCCACCAGACGATGGCATTGATACCAGCGAGATGAAAGGCTTACAATTTTGCTCGCTGCTGATGATGAGGCGTGTAGGGGGCCGGGTTTGTCGCCAGTGTCGCCAGCCAGTCCATTTTCCACTCATTGCTGAAGCGGAGAAACGACAAAAGTGGAAAACAGGACGGCGCCTGGCCAAACCCAGCCTCCTGAACGCCCCAGCGGACAAGACTGTAGCTATATCGAAATGGACGGGAATGAGCTGTCTTCGTACAGATAAGCGTCTACCATTGCTGTGGAATCTGCACCAGGGCACGCCATAACGTTGTGATGGACGGGAATGAGCTATCTTCGTACAGATAAGCGTCTACCATTGCTGTGGAATCTGCACCAGGGCACGCCATAGCGTTGTGATCATTTCTTGAAAAATACGACCCCCCCCCTCCCTGATTTTATCCTCAAATACGCCCTTCCCCCCACCCAGTCCTGATCATCACTACGATGGTGTGCCCTGATCTGCACCAGGAGAGGGTCGTACTTGAGAGTTGTAAGTCTTTCGTCGACTGATGAAAACTCATCCCTCTGTGAAAACTTGCCGTTTGAGGCGCCCTATACCCTTGTTTTCGTCTTCGATCTTCGACGAAGAATTTCTACCATATAGGGTGGCACATCGGATGTCAGACTACACTCGCCCTCTTCAATTCGCCCCGATCAAGGAAGGAGATCGTGATGAACTCAAGTTAAAGAGATATTCAGTCACTACGCTAAATGTGATAGTACTGCGCTGACTGGGTGTCCTAGTGAAATCCTCGACCTTCTGAACATGGTCATCCATCGCAGAAAAGAATTTGGTGACACTCACATCCTGAAGAATTTGTTCACGAGCGACTGCCAGTTCAGTTCGGATTTTAAGTGTCGATCTGCGCGCCGCCTCCCAACACAGGATGTCGCAATTGCGTTTCACTTCTTCACGACCAGCTTTTTTAAACATGAGCATCTGAATGTCCATCAAAATATTTAACTAATAGTTCATGTCGATCAAGTCAAAGTAGGCAAAAAAAACACTTCCGGAAAGGATACATTTCGAAGGGGATCTTCCAAGTTATGGAGCGCGTTTTGAAAAGATTTCCGCACGATGTAGCGCGCGAAAGGGAGTGGTTTTACTGTTTTTCCTTTCTCTTTGCGAAATGGCGTCTGGTCGCCAAAGTCGCGCGTAAAGTTTCAAACTCTCATTTGAAGTATTTGAAGGAGAACAGCCGGTAGCTTGTAATGGATAGCAGGAGTCGGTACTGGGAGTTGTGTAGGACGTTTGAACGAGCACACTTTCCTTTTCTTATTTACGGCCGAAGGATAAGAAAAGAAAGTTAGTAAAAACAAACCTCTTCATCTGTAGGAAAATATTTCAGCAGTGACGAGAGTAGGTCAATCGAAATTCCATCCATATTATTCGACTCTAAGCGATCAATGAGATCCATTACGGTCAAAGGGCGAAGTCTGAACACACACAACAAGTATTTCCACAGGGCTGGAACTATAACGGAGAATGTACAGGACATCCAGGCGGCGTTGCTCTCAAATATAAATTATACACTCACTTGAGAGAACAGTCCTTGCCATCTGCAAGCTGAGCGGGACAGCAGCTGCAGTAGCGTACCACGTTCTCCGCTCAAATGTGCCGGGGCTTGTGGGTGGTGATACTCTACTACCGTCTCCACACTCCGCCGCTTATCCTCAATGTGCAGCACTTGCATCGATACCAAGAGCCCGTAGCGCAAAATGTACCCAACGGTAGAGAGCACTCGGAATTGAGAGGAGGCAGACAAGTAGCGCGTTTGGCTATGGTACGTATGGCTGGCTGTACGGTAGCGGGGCAGAGTATGTGGACGGCACTCGGGCGCCACTATCCTCCAGCACCGTTCTCGCGCATTTTTACCGGAGAATGTGGTACACTAATTCAGATGCAGAACCCGCACCTCACACATATCAAGGCCTAAGACCCGGAGAGGAGAATGTACAGATTGTCTCTGAGCCAGAATTCCTGGCTAGTTGACTCGACACCAGACTTGAACGTCAGTTCAAACGCGTCAGGATAGTCTACATTGAGCGGTGGCCGTAAAATAACTGTTACAGGACGTAACCTGCCGTGACAATGTTGATTCAACGCAGAGATGTTCTGCTGAGTCAACCAGCTACGAATACTAGCTGGTTTGTGCGCGATGCCGCGCCCTTTGGTGTCCTGAACAACACCCCAATCAGGATGGGGACAAAGACAGGCACATACTTGGCAAGAATGATCTCCAGGTTGAGGGCTTTTTGCTGTGATAACTGAAATATGGATTCTGCTGCCGGTTTTTCACGTACACTCCTCCTTTCTTTCGCAAAACGAGACAACGCCGAAGCAGAAGGTTCAGCTCTTTCGAATAGCAATTGAACCTGAAAATAAGTCTCTTATTTACCGCGTCATCTTTAAAATTCTGAAGGGGACCTACATAGTCTCGTTCTTCGGGGCCAAACTCCGGTCGCGCATACTCGTTCCACACTGTATGCACATCTTAAAAGACAAGTAACTTTGTCAAGTAGGGGGGCCAAAAATAATTCCGCGAAAACGACTTACTCGTAATAGAATGCTGGCTAACGGCCTGCCAGAGCAGCGTGTATGTCTTCTTCTTTTTCGGATAGATTTCGTCACTCCTAGCCGTGCCTGTCAGAATTCGAAGTTATTCCTTCATCCTGCATTCAACCTAGAGTACGAGCTGCGATGCGACGCGCTTGAAGGAACGACCCGCCCCCCCCCTCCATTCGGTGTTCAGACTCTTTATCTGCACATGGTAGTCTGTCCGCAAGCATGAACAGCTTAAAAAGACGCGGCCCACTCACGACGAGGCCTGCCCCGCCCATGCCCACCGCAACGCCCACTTTTATTTCTGAAGGGTCCCTGATGATGCGGTTGTGCCGCTAACAACTGTCTCCACTTCCAAAGGTAAAGTTCAGGGCGCTGTATCAAACCCTAGATGTCTAGCCCGACACCCTTATACCAATGACTCTGACACCTGCTCCACCTCTCAGCCTATGCGCTAATTGAAATTAAATAATGAGAGAATCTGAATACTTACAAGAAGGGGAGACCATTGACGTCGCTGATGTTGTAGGTCGCGCCAGAATTCCAGGAGGTGGCGGCGGTGGTGGTGGCGGTGGAGGAGTTGGAGATGGTGCAACACCATTTGTTTGCACCTCTGAAGTGACAGAGATAGTCCAGCTCACCACAGAAAAAAAAACTCACTGACTTAGCAACCCAAGTGGAGGTGGTGGAGGGGCTGGCGGAGGAGGTGGCGGTGGAGGAGGAGCAGGAGGAGCTGAAGACACTGGTGCTTGTGAACAAGATGCAGCCGGTTGTTTTGCTATCGTTGCTGCACCAGTCGACGAGGAATCTTGTCTACCTAAAAATTAGGCTTTATTTTTTTCGGAAGCTTCCTCAAACTATCAATAATGCCCCACAGCCACCAGCTGTTAGAAATCTAGGCGATCGGTAGAACCTATCAAATCTGATTACCTTCATCTTTACTGGATACACAATCAGGACCCAAAGATGTAAATTCTATGTTGACGGTGTCACCTATAAGGAAAATCGTTAGCGAAAAAAGAGCTTGCTCCGGGTGAGAGATACTCTTAGACAAATGAAGATTAAATCTGAAC